GCTTGTGATTTTTTGGCAGGGAGTTGACGATATGATGAGCCTTGTGAATCGGAGGATGGTACAGTGGTGATTCCTATAAATATTGGGAACACTGTTTTTCCTAAATTTAAATTTATTGAAAACAATCAATTCTTAGCGAGGCAGCTTGCGTAACCTACATCGATATTTTAAATGGAGGGAAAAGAGTGCTGCGAATTCGCAAAGTCACCAATTCGTAACCAAAATCAGACTGCCTTCACTTTGCACTTATTAGTTTTTTTTTTATACAAGATATAGTAAATATCGTTACTGAGTTTTACCAAGATACTTTTTTTTATCGTCAACGAAACTTTACAAAGAAACTCTCTTCATATACTCAAACCGATAACAGTAATTACATCAAATAGCGGGCATTTTGACTTATCTTCCACCAGAATGATGTAAAAAGACGATCAACAAGGGTTAGTATTAGATATTTTCGCTATTCTAATCCTACAGATCAAGATTAATACAGTCCATGACCGAAATTCCGATCCCAGATCAATTTAAAATTTTCCTAAATGAATATGATTTTTTACAAATTCAGTCAGCTTTTAATGAGGGTTGTAGGAGTTAGGGAGTTAGGGAGTAGGAGGTTGTAGGAGGTTTGTATCATGGAATTTTGTTCTAGTCAAACTGCTTCATTTGGGGAGAGGTATCTGCGCTAGTTGGGAATTATGTGCTGAGTATGGTGCATTACAAGCTATAAAATTCTTTGAGGACAAGCATAGAGCTTTTTTACTGGCACCCTGAAAGAGGACTTAAATGGAGAGAGAATATCCTTCACTTCCACGAGCACACCTACGGATCCCTCTCAGACATTACCGCCATGCTAAGAAAGAACGTCGTATAAACCTTCAAACGTTGCCAAATTTAGCATAATAAACCATACATTTTCAGTGAAACCTTTAAACATATTCCTTTCAATTTTTCACAGATTTTAAAGCTCAATTCTATGGGAAGTGTCTGAAATTTTGACGGAAAAATATCCATAACTTTCCTCAAAAATATGAATTCAATCTAGGGAAATTTGGCATCGTCCGAATCTTCTTACGCCTCTCTTCCTCAGCACGGTGGATCACAGAGGTCAAGAGATCAGATCATCGGAGGACTTGAACGCACGATGCAAACGAGAACACAGTATGTCCATTAACCCATCAGAAATCACAATGACGCTGGCTCTAGGAGGAGATAGGAAGCCGGGTGTCGGACTGCGTTTAAAAGTCGTGAAATCGCTCGCCGAAAGTATTAAGGTGAATCTCAAACAAAATTTTGGTTAAATTATGTTCAGTCAAGCAACGGTGGAGAATCTACGTAATTCACGGGGAAAAGGACGGTACGGATGATCCAATGAGCTCTTTCCAAGCCTTTGCAAAAAATTAAAAAAAAAAAGTTCGACTCAGCAGGTGAAGCTAATCTTTCCAGGCAACAGGAAAGACGAAGAGAAGAAGATGAGGAGGAATATGAGGTGGAGGAGGGGAACATCTGTTCATTCGTAAGTGCATTCATAACGAAAAAATTAAAGACAGAAGAAAAAGGTTTAAATGTCGTGACATTTACTGATGGGTAATTTCGGCAGAGCCCATACGAACTGAACTTAATTCTGTAAGGTACACCACCGCCACGGATGCATTTCCTACTCGAGTGAGGCAATGTTCGTGATTTGAAAAATTATGCAGTTTTTGCTTGCTAATCCGCGCCTGGAGGGTTCGCGGATTATCGTTGGATGAGAGAGACTTTGCACAGCCGAGATTTCGAAGCTGTTGGAAGTGGCTCCATTTGTAACGGATTGTTGCAGAACTGTCATCACTTTTTTGGTCAATTGGACGTATTTCTGTCAAACGGAACTATGTGCATTAAGACATGAGCCACGAGACCCGTAAGAGCATATGAATAACAGGGCTCACGCCATGGTGCACGTAGTTCGGTTTGACAGAAATACGTCCAATTGTGTATTGACTCTTCGTCATGCGGCACTGTCTTTGTTTATTTTTTTCGCTACGTTTTTTTTCCTCGTCTGTTGACACCGGAGCTTTTCCGTCTCAGCTGTAAAGTTCAAAACAATTCTAGATTATCTCCTCGGTGGCATTAGCCTGAGATTTGAGCGGCCAATCTTCATCGCTGTCAAAATGTTGATCTGCGTGATTTGCAATGGTGAACGGTAAAAAAATTGATTGCTGATTTAAGAATTAAATCGTTAAAAAGATATGTCCGACATATTTCAAATGTACATTTTACAATAAAGGAGAACTTATTTACTCACGGGAGGAGGTTACTGGTTAGATTAGCATTTTAATTGTAAAATCTACATTGAAGCACGTCGGACAATTTTTTACAAAATTGTTAAATCAGCAATATAATTTTTTCCGTGTGTGGGTGTACGCAAAAGTTCCGTTATTTCTTTTGCTAATATCACTGATTCACATCGGAACAAAGTCACCGAAGCCCTTTTGAATTACAGAGCTTCCAGTTCTGCAGCATTTTCAAAATTCAGAGCGAGCGATCCTAAATTTGCATTAAAGGCTGGTGTTGTAGGGTAATTCGAATCCTGGAGGTGATAATCAACTGGATCGAATCCAAAAATCCAAAATTTTTGAAGGGGAAACATTTTTTTTTTTTTAAATTTACCATCCTGATTTTTCATAGGGATGGACTTCATTTTCGTAAAATTAAGCTCTTTTGGTATAAAAAGGCTTCTAATTAGCGAGCATACGCTTCGTTAGCTGTGAGAATTACAGACGGTTTGAGGGAAGGAAAAAGTTGATTCATTCATAGAATTTTGGAAATGGTCAACGGAAATACCAAAAATCCCGAGACATTATTATACATTTTTAGTAACACAAAGTTTAGTCGTTAAGATGTGCGGGGTCTGCAGTCTGCACTCCTTAGAACTCCATGCAATAACAGCTTTGTAACATAATGTGGTATTAGAGAAATGACTTTTTATGATTTTAGAGAAAATTTTTCGGAAGAGATTATTACATTCTTTATTATTTTGATAGAGATTTTAATTATTACGCGTAAGTTGTGAATTCTTCACTCGATCCATTCATACTTTTTATCACTTATGAATAAAAAATCCACCTTTATTGCAAATATGCTGTTAAGTCTGCATGAGCGCTAGTACAATCATTATGCATCGATAAAGATAAAATTCAGAAAATTTTCATTTGTTTGAAGGGAATTCGATGCCTTCTCAGTGTCTGAAAATACTTTAACACTCGTGTATAACTTTTTTAAATACTTGGTATTGAATCACTTTAAGAATCTGTTGATTAAACACTATAATTTTTTTTTTTTTTTAATTTTTACATTTCGAATAGATCGGTGGGTTTTTTTATTTTTATTATTCGATGTTCACAAAAATGAATAAAGAAAAAGCTCTTCGTAAAGGTATATTTCTTAACTTCAAACCTCAAACAGTTTAAAATTAAAATTTCCTTTCTTCAATGAATATCGGCCCTATTTCTTATTGAAATTGTTATTTATCATGTTGAATCTATCACTTTGTTACATCTAATCACTTTCTTCTTGGCCATGGGACTTAAGTTTTTGAAAATTTAGAATAAATCGCCATTTTAGAAGTGAAAAACAATTTTTTTTATTTTATTGTAATTTTAATGTGTGACCATCCGCAGGGAAAGGGACCCTAACCTACGAGGCAAAGCTGCTCGGCATAGCAATTTTTGTTCATTTGGGAAATTGAATTTTGAGATTTTTAAGGAAAGCTGCATCTAATGTCATTAATAATATGTTGTGAACGGTTTGGTTCTTCTTTCATTTAAAGATGGGATAAAGTTGCATTATAGTTTGGTTATTTTGTGCACTCAATTTGACGGACTAGAATTTTTAATGAGGGCTTTTCGTAGAAAGTGTCTTTAGTGTGTGAAAGTGTGATAACCCTTGGTTTAGAACAGCTTCAACTACAATAGGCATAAATTTATGATTAACCTCACAAATTTCTAAACATTGCCCGAAATAGAATCCTAAACTGCAAACTTCAAACTTGTGTAGCTCCGGTTTGGTTTGACAATCTAAGGCTTTTATTCGCCCAAATTGATCGCAAGGATTCTTTAATGCTCTAGTAACGTTGATGCGATTTTGAGTTGTTGTAGACTTAGGTCCATCTTCCTGCAGACAGTCACGTTAAAAAAATTCTAAATTTTTGCACGTTATTTTAATCAGTTTAAGTTTGTATCTCTAGTGCTGTTATTTTATTTCTACTAACTCTAATACAACACTCAGTGACAATTTTGTTTTAAAAATGTTTTATTTTTATTTTAAGTAAATTTTGTTTGGAAAAATAACTTAAAAAATTTAAGATTGATAAGCAATTTTAGAGAAAAACTTAAGTATTCTGAAACCTAGAAAACGTCATCTAATTAGAAAAATATCGAATATTTGTCGTGAATTTTATTTTCGGTTTTTTTAAGATGAAAAATGAAAATATTTAAACAGATATTCAAAATTTGAAATGAATAAGAAATTACTGAGCATTTAAAAAAACGCATACAGGCCATCATGTGTTATCTCCTGAAGTATTTCAGAGTCGTTTTTGAGATGACATAGTTTATTTCCCATCATAAAGGAATGTCTCTGAAAAATTGCACAGTTTTTAGAGAAATTTAAAACACCCTCCAGGTGTAGCTACGCTATGTTGATACAATAAGAGTTTCGGCCTAAGATTGGTCTTTCAAGGGAAATATTTCGAGTCTCACTTTGGTGAGTAATACGAAATTTACGGGGGAAAACAACAGCCAAATAAAATTTCAGCACAAAAACACGCAAAACTGGCAGATCAAAATCCACTGTAATCCAATTCCAGTACAATCCAAGTCGATAGAATCCAATCGCAATCCAACCGAATCCACGGCAAACGCACTGTTCAGTGTTACACCGGACGATTTTCGAACACGGGTACAATCCGCAAAATCCAAAGCACCAAAACCAAAATGTAAAACCTTGCGCAGGGGAGCCTTTACCTTTTCTCGGGACGGTGGAAATAGCTTGGCCGGGAACTAAACACGTTGTAACACAATAAAACACGGGCACTGGCGGAATGGGTGAGGTATATGAGCGTCGCGACGGGTACACTACATGACCGAATTGGGCGGGAGAAAAAGACACTGACGGCGCTGCGCTGCGCTCGGAACGGGTCCCGGTATTGTAATAAAGCGCGACGGCCCCCGTCAGTGTTTTATATGACCCGTAGAAAGTAGACGGTGTCGCTCAAGGTGGATGCTACTCCGCGCCCCCTCCGCGGTTTCCCGGCGATTTCAACCCCTTATTCCGCTTATTTTCATTCTCGAAGAAAGTCCTAGGAACACATGTGATTCTAAAAAGCGTAGTGTTAGTCCTCAAAAATATATCTCAGATCATTTAAAAAATATTTTTTACACTAAAAAAAAAAGTAGACGGTGTCGCTCAAGGTGGATGCTACTCCGCGCCCCCTCCACGGTTTCCCGGCGATTTCAACCCCTTGACCGCTTATTTTCATTCTCGAGGAAAGTCCTAGGGACAAGTGCGTTTCTAAAAAGCATAGTGTTAGTCCTCAAAAATATATCTCAAATCATTTGAAAAAGATTTTTTATACTAAAAAAAAGTTACGGGTTTTGTAAACATTTTTTGACATTTTAAGACAATTTTGGGCGAGGGCCCTCGTCAGTGTTTTATATGACCCGTAGAAAGTAGACGGCGTCGCTCAAGGTGGATGCTACTCCGCGCCCCCTCCACGGTTTCCCGGCGATTTCAACCCCTTGACCGCTTATTTTCATTCGAAGAAAGTCCTAGGGACAAGTGTGATTCTAAAAAGCATAGTGTTAGTCCTCAAAAATATACATCAAATCATTTGAAAAAGATTTTTTACACTAAAAAAAGTTACGGGTTTTGTAAACATTTTTTGACATTTTCAGACAATTTTGGTGAAGTAAAAAATGTGTTCTTGTAGAAAATTGTTCCTTGGTTATGTTAGGTTAGATTAGGCTATCATAAGTTGGATTGGATTTTGCAAAAAGGAACCAGGAGCATTGGAATGTTGCTTCGATTGTGCAACTTCTTTTGTCTTGGAAGAAAAACCTGATATCCATTGACAGTTTCTATTTTACTCGCTGAAAACTGTGAATCTAGGACAAAAATTTGCCATGTAAATTCAGTTACTTTACTGCAAAAGATGACTTTGCAAAATCTTAGCATCATTGCAATGCTTCTGATTCCTTTTCTCAAAATGCAATCCAGTTAGATGAGGTTAGGCTGGATTTTATTAGCTCAGGTTAGATTAGACGAGAAATAAACATTTTAAAATATTGAGGGAATGCCATTATGCTAAAGTTGACAGTATCTTCACCAATTATTATTAAAACAGTAAAAATCTCTTTGTGCAGATGAAAGAATGTAAAATTTTAAACTAAGCAGATAAGCACCTGTCTCGTTCAAAATGACTGACTGGCCCCTTGGTTATATGTATATGTTTGTTGTGCGGGGACTTGAACGCCCGGAAAGAAAAGTAAAAATAGCCTTGTTTTTTTCCGCGAAAGTGCTTCAAAGGGAAGTTTGACGGTTGCATTTTTAAATTTAGAACGTTTGCAGACAATATTTCTTAGTCACCTTCAATTAGCTTTGACTGAAGAGAAGGAAAATTTAACCTTAAAATAAACAGACACGTGCAAACTATCACAAATATTTCTAACACATGTTTCTAATTATTCCGCGCATATAGCATGTATCCTATCCTCATTTAGATAAAAAGGCAAACCCATACGTATATATTGAAATCAAATTGGAAAAATCAAATGATTGATTGAAACCTTACTTTAGAAAGATTCAAAACAGTTGGGAAGATTCTTCGATTTTTTACTCTCGGTTTTTCTCCGAGCAAACCTAACTGCCGACATTCAGAATAAAGTGCTCACAAATCTACTAAATTAGAAATGCGTGATACTGTCTGCAAATTGTGCCTTAAGAAAAGTTTTATGGACATTTTCGACGGGCTAATGGTGTTTTGGGGCAGTTTTACTTTTTTACTTCTCAAAAGCATGCTAAGTGTTCTGTGTGTCTTACTTACAAAACATCCACTCGTATCGAGTCCAGCAGTTCATTCCCAGGATTGAGCTTCTGTATTCTGAGAAAGATTCAAAATTCAGAGTATTTAGGAGGTGCGAGTAAATTGGTGAAATGTTGAGCAATCGGCATCATTGAGAGCCGGCGAGCTCTGATCGGATTAAATGAAATATGGATGCGTTTAGGTTGCGCAGGTCAGCATCTGCCATGCGCATGCGCCCGGCGCGACGATGCGGCGTACGACCGATAAGCAAATAATGAGTCAATTAAACAACCGTGGACACTGCATCTTTCTGCCGTGCAAAGGAAGAACGCCATATAAACGTGCGACAGTTGCCAAATTTCCTTCGATAGAACATGTATTTTTGACAAAATTTATGCATATTTTTCCTTGAAACTTTCAGACATTTTAGATTAAATCGCTTAAAAAATTGTGTGAAAATTTTGGAAACAAATATTCACGATTTCCCCAGTAAATTTAATTTTTACTGTAGGAAATTTGGCAACGTCTGAAGGTTCATACGGTGTTTTCTCTTAGCACGGCAGCCCCACCCTTCCTCTAGCAATGCCCCGGCCAGATGCCATTTGACTATCTCCTCGTGAAGGAGTCGAATTGCAAGAGAATCTTCCAGGTCTGTCCTGAACGACCATAAAAAAAGATAGCTTTACTTCAAACTTGTAAATTGGACTGCGTTCGGCAGAAAGGAACCAAATCACATCAGCTATTGCCAAATTTAACTGTGCAATTTAATTTTTTACAAGAGAACGTTTGTGCGGATTCCCTTGAAAATATTAAGGAATTTGCTTCGTATACCAAGCTGACAATTCATTGAAAGGAGGGGTATCGTTAAGGGCCTTTTTTGGGCCCACCCTGAAATTCCTCAACTCCGCGATTTTTTTGTCATTGAAGGTCTATATTTTACGGAATTCATAATGGTTTGGTCATTTCCGATCTATTTCAGGGTCTACCACTGGCCTAGACATGGGTCTGAGGGCCGATTTTGGCGAAAAATGCTGGTTTTTCGGCATTCAACGCGCTGTTTCATACCGATCCCTTCGGAGGAAAATAAATTCCTTCAAGTATGTTCATTAGGGATGTAAGAGAGTCACTTTGGCCAATTTTCGTTCCTGTCAAACTTTGCGCTCATTGTTAAAAAAAACTTGTTAGAATTTTCCTGTTTTTCATCATTATTTAAAATGGCTTAAAAAAGCGACTCATCTTACGCCAGAGTTTAACTTTTTTGGCAATAAATGGACGTGGGTGGTCAAAACCTTCCTCAAAAAACTTTTTTGGATTCAAAGCCCCCCCTAAAATCCGGTGTTGCCATATTTCATTGCCTGAATTCACGGAAAAACTAGTATTTTAGAATTCGGAGGCTGCTCCTCGTCAAGAACATTCCGAGAGTTCAGAAACCTTTATTTTTCACACGCAGTGGCCGCATTAGTAGGAATTTTATGCATGTTTTATCTATTTATGTATTTATCTCCCGCTGTGGCTCAGCGTTGCCACATGTTATTCGGAAAAATCGAGAACAATTCGCGTTTAGGTGGTTTTGCGCCAATTTTTTCGGATCATGCCAGTGGTAGACCCCGAGATAGATCGAAAATGACCAAACCATTATGCATTCCGTAAAATATAGACCTTCAATGACCAAAATATCGCGGAGTTGAGGAATTTCAGGGTGGGCCCAAAAAAGGCCCTTAACGATACCCCTCCTTTCAATCTAAGTTAATTTATTTGATTATTTGTCTAGGCATTTGACAAAATGCCTGATTTTACTATTTGCCTGAGACATATACTTTGTGACCCTTATGATGAAGCGCTCGCCCTTCGAAAAACCTCGGTCAAAGTTTATGTAAGTGTTTTTTTTATAAAATTGTAATATTATCTCTAGCACTTGGCTACACCCTACATGCCAGTGCTCCTATACTACTAGCGATGCGATGCGTGCTATGGAAAAACGCCGTATGAACCTTCAGGCGATCCCATATTTCCTTTGATAAAACACGAATTTCCTAGTAAATGTATGAATATTTTTCTGCCAATTTTTCAGATTATATTGTCAGCAATTTCACCTAAAGCTCCTGAAAATTTCAAGAAAAAATGTTCATAACTTTTCTCAAAAATGAACATTTTACTGAAGGAAATTTGGCAAGTTTCGAATGCTCATACGGCGTTCTTCCTTAGCGCGACAGAATTACTAGGAGACTTTAACGATTGAGAAGGAAAGCAAAACGTGCGTTGATGCAAGACAAAGAAATAGTGCGCAAGAGATTGCATACTTTCCAGGCTGTCTTTAAAAAACACGCACTACGATTGCATCCGAGCCACGCAGTAGCGTGGCGTGAATTGCGATGTATCGATTGTTTTGCAATTTAAACGTATGGTAAAGAATCGATTATTAAGGTGTTCGTAACGAACACCCTGTTCATCGATCATTTTCCATAGGTTTAAATGGCATAACAATCGATATATCGCAAAGCACGCCACGCCACTGGATCCACCCTGAAAAAAGAGTAATCTCCGGGTTTTCCGGACCTTTAGACACCCTGATCTAGGGAGAGCAGGCCCAGCTGTAGAATACCTCTCATCGATAGCCAGAAAAATCAATCGGCAGAAAAAATGTTTGAAGTCAACACTCAAATCCCGTCAGCCCGAACTCTGTATTGCGAAAGAACGTCCTATGAGCCCTCGGACGTTGCCAAAATTTGTGAGATAAAACGGGAATTTCGTGGGGAATTTGTGCCCCTCCCCCCAAAAAAAAAAAAAATTGTTTATGAAAAGTATCTAAATATTTCAAGGAAAAATATTCATACCATACCTCACCAAGACATAATATTAATATTATCGTGATACGCACCGCTTTTGTTTGTGGAACTACGCAATTCACTTGGATGGCATTTAGCAAAAAGGAACCAGCGCGATTACAGTGTTTTCAAGATCGTGCACCTTCTTCTGTACGTTTGAAATTACTTATAATCTATGTACAGTGTTAGAACTTACCTTCAGTATTTTCCTTCAAAACTAACAATTGTTCCGTGAGAAGCCAGAGCTATTTGGACTGCATTTTACAATTTGGAACTATAAATTTTGGCTCG